AGAAAGTAAATATTGTTTCATGTATATCAGCTAGCAGTCCAGTGGTACAGCAGTATAAGATGAGATCCCTTCCAAATAAGTTCAGGCACATCTTTTGCTGCACCTAGAAACAGAAAATCATTTATCCTAATAGAAGCATTTAAATTTCCAGTCTAGTCAACAGAGTGGCAGGTGCCCCTGGAGATCTCCAGAGGGAGATTTGGTCTGTCTAATTTAGACAGACAGACATAGGGGTATTTTCTACCATGGCAGGATTTCCTAAAATTAGGAAGTCTTTATTTCACCTGTAAATACAAGCTCCAACTAACATCTATTATTTTCAAAAGCACTATCTTTTTGAGACTGTCTTCTGAAAGAAGTAGTACATCGAAATGACCAAGGTCCAATCTCCTGTAATCACAGCACCAAAATATCATACTTACTTCATAACCTCAGTATTTGCACTTGCAGAAAAGACAAATGAATCATGTTTTTAAATTGTAGGGGAAGAAAGAAAAATAATTACCATTATTATTGCTGCCATATGCAACTGACTGTGCTTATCATGATTGCCTATTAGAGTGATAGTTGCAGATTGCAGTACATAAGAGAATGAAGAAGAGCCCATCGTTTAAAACTTTCCAAAACACTAGTCTATACAAGTAAAGATTTTTACAAAAGAAGGTGACTTTGTCAAGCCTTTTTCAGTACTGACTGGTTCAGCTTTCAGTACTGACTTGTTCAGCAGAGTTCATGTTAGTTCCTCTAATTGCACTTTGTTGCTGTGAATATGAAACTGTGGAGTCCAGAGCACAGATTATAGCAGTCAGGGTCCAGTGGAATCAAAAAGTTCTATAGATTTTTGGTAAATCCACTATTTACAGAAATAGAAGGAGTATTACTGTGAGCCTCTCACAAAAGAGAAGTGCCAAGAAACCACAGCCCACTGGGAAGAGATACTCTCCCTTACACAACAAGTTTGGTTTCAGTGGTTTAAAGTTTTTAATAGGATAGAACTGAGAAGAGTTGTAGACACTTTGAACCAACAGAGTATGTTTAAGCATTGTATGTTTACATATTTTAAAGCTGATTTCTTTGCTTGAGATTTTTATGCACTTCTATATCTACCTTGCAAGAAAACAGGAGATACTAAGAGATACTAGGAGACATCTGTTCTTTTCTGCATGCAGGGAAGAATGGTCTTTGATCTGTTTTCTTATGTACACATTAAAGATGAACAGGAAGGGATCTTTAAGATATCCGTTCTTCTTTTGGTACTTGATAATATTTAGTCATTTGTACAATAAATATGTACAGTCTGATTTTCCGAGAGCTCACTGGGCCCTCCCTTAAATGGGGTCTCCCTTTACATCTCAGAATATTCACTTCCTGCCCTCATCCTGGGATTCTTGCAAGTAAGGAGGGAAATTTAGTCAAATTGGTGAGAAAAGGGGTCATCTGCTTTGATGACAAAGAGGAAAGAACATGAAGCTTTCTAACAGAGTTTTTCTACCCTGGATTTACTAGAGACAATTACTTTTTCCGGTCTGGAAGGACAAAATGTAATCAGGATATATTTCTCAATCTATCTGACCTAAATTATATATTCTAAATGCAAAACCAGTCATCCTCTTCAAATTAGTCCTTCTATAGTTTAATCATCTTTTTTTTTTTAACCATTAGAAAATAATACATAATCATAAAATGAGATTTTTTTTAAGAGGTCACCAAATGTTTGTGTGTATCTTCACAAGTTCCTGGCTGTCTGAACTGTACCTAAGATCTCTGAAATAAAAATAGCCATTTCAGAGAAATTAAAAGCCAACAAAACAAAAAAATTATCCTAAGCCCAGCTCAGATACCAGCAAAAGCAAAAGGCTCCATTTTCAAGTGGACTTTAAGTTTGTTTATGGTTTGATGATCATGTGGTCCAACATAGCCTTTGAAAAAGCAGAAGGTAGCATTATAAGAGCCAGTGTATATGATAAATATTTCTCCTTACAAAATGATACATTTCCAGTTTGTGTGTTCAAACTGACAACCTCTTGGAAAGGGCTCAGAATTTCACACAAGGGTGAAATCCTTCAGACCAGACACCTAACTGCAGGTGTCTACAATGTAGATGCTAACATGTGGGCAGTGTACCCAAACTCCTTTGGTATTGTGCAAGTCTAAAGAACTATTGTTCTTCATATCCTGAAGCATACATTTACATATGGCCAAATTAACAGCTCTCTAAGGTCCATGACTCGATCTACACGTAAGGGAAGCTTAAATGCCTAAATGCAGGTGTCTGATTAAAGAACTGAATTCCACCCCTGCTGCAAACAAATGCCACAGGCTATCACTGATTAAATTACATTTCAGTGCATTTCACCATTTTCATTGTGAGAAGTACCAGAAGCAAAGCTTCTGATTCTTTGCTGTGTATTGATATTTACAAAGTGGTAGAGACTCTTCAGTCCTGAAGGCGTTGGTACCATGACAGGCTGTACAAGCAAAAGAAAATCAGGCTATACTTACCACTGATACACAGAGCTCTGACTGTGGTTGAGAAGGAAGGACCATATCCTATCATGACATCATGAGACAGAGAGAAATGCTACTTCAATATCCTGCGTCTTGAAATGTTTAAAAGCTGATGTGAAAAGTCATATAAACCTGAATTACCACTCATTTCCTTTCTCCTAATACAGAAAGCAAATGTCTATATACAAAACACAACTAAATAACAAAAATGTACTTGTTTAGCAAGCAAGGTTACAGCAACATGGAATTTATATAAGAATATATATAGTTGCCTACATAAATAGCAAGTTATATATCACCCTGCCAATCTGTGTCACCTTAAATCTAAATTAAAGTATATAAACTTTTACAGATTTCAGGAATGATTAGTTCTGAAAAACAGGACAAGTATGGGGGGTTTTTTTACTAAATTAGCTATTTAAGCTTTTGAAGTGCAGTAATACTGCTTGGATAGAGTGCTGGACTTAAGTATGACTGTCTATCTCTGAGGCAGCACCACAATCCATTAAGCTCCCTGTATTTAATCTGTCCATCATAAGCTTAGTAATTTTCATATCACATAGGACAAAAAGGTGATCTTTTGTATTTGAATCTCTAATTTACACTCCCCATCCTCCTTTCCCAAGCAGTAAATGGTAGAGAAGAAAGCTTTTTCTGCAGTTTCTTCAGCCCTTTTATCTGAGGAAAAGCAGTTATATGTCAGGTCTCTAAGGAATTTGATGCTCTGTTTTTCCCCTGACCCTATTTCCATACTCGGAGCTGCAAGAAAGGAAACTATCCCATAGAAAGATAACGTATTTCGAGGTTAGTAAGAGTTGCAATATGTAAATTGTATGTCCTTCTCCCCAAGACCCACTCTAGTCTTTTGGGACAAGGACAAATAAGCTCTCAAAATGAAATACCTTATAATGGAATTGTTCTATTCCACTCTTAGATCCTCACTCGAGGAGGAAACAACACAACTCCTAATCTCTAGAGGAAAACAACACAATAAGCTATACAGTGCAGATTTTCATTCCTGATAGATGAAAGACCTTGAGACTTACCCAGTAAGCTCTGCAATGCTTTGCACAGTAATTTGTAGTTCTTAATTAAGTCATAGCATCTCTTTGGAGGGAAAATTGTATTCATTTTCTCACCATTGTAGTCACCATTTTAATAAAGAAAGAGAGACAAAAGAATGCTGAAGTTGGAGGGCTACGAAAGATATTTCTTTTGAGGAAGAAGGAATAATTGTTGCCTTTGAGCTTCAATCTGGATGCCACTTCTCCCAGAAAACAACCTTACTGATGGAAAAGAAATTTTCCTGTTGTGTTTTTTTTTTTTTTTTTTTTTTTTTTACCCCTTTTTCCTTTTTTTTTAGGGAAAAGTTTTTTTTTTTTTCTTTCCTTTGTTGTCAGAGAAGAGTTATTTTCACAAATAGAGAAATAAGAACCAAGAGAATTTGTCATGAAGCTATCAGTAATGTTAGAATGGCTTGCTTTTTCAATTCCAGAAACCATTTGGGAAACTGTATTTGAAAGCTGCCAAGACGGAAAAACAAAATTAAAGCAAGCCCTTAGATGAAACTAAATGAAATAGGCAAGGAAGAGCCATCTAGTATCTCTAATGCTCATGTTTGGGGAATGAGGTAGAGAAGGGGAGTGGAGGCCATAAAGATGTCAAGCTTGCATGCCCTCCCTAAGTGGCCTCTCCTTTTATCAGTGCAGATGAGAGGATACTAGGTTAGATGGGTCACTGACAAGAAATGCCAGTAGAACATTTCTTATCACTGAGTCTTCAGATCAGGGTGGAAACTTGTATTTTTAAACAGAAATACAGAGTTGTCAGCAAAATAACTGTTGGTTTCAATAGAATCAGGTTTTTGTCCTGTAGTTCTGGCTATCTCTGCACATAGATACAGCATGTAAAAAAAAAAAGAAAACTGTAATCCTTTAAATGTATTGCAATACTATGATTGTGTAGAACCATATTGGAATTGACTGCCTTGTAAGCCTTAAATTTAGTAACTCACAGATATGTACATCAGCTAATGAACAACAACTCTTTTACCAAGCATGCTATTCTTTTTCAAACTTCCTATTTTTTCTATCTGGCATCTAAACAAAAAACCTCACAGCAAGACTAGTTAAGAAAGAACCTAGATTTAGTAAAGAGGGAGATTATGTTTAATTGGTTTTTAACCCAGTTATTATCTCTAAATTATACTGTTTGTGCTTCTGTACACTTACTGCAATGCTGACCTGCGGTACTCACAGGTACAAATGGCACAGCTGCCAGAGTCTTACTTGCTACACTCATCTACCATATGTAAACCTTTTAACTAAATATTTTTTAATAATTAAAGTGAAACAGAGAGCAAGTAGTGTTTTGGTGTTGACGTGCACTGAGCAGTAACTTGGATTAACAATTAACCTTTAATGTACAGTAAATTAATACTCTCACTACTAGAGTGATCTTTAGTACTATATCTATAGGTAAAAGCAGCTTACCTGAATAACATGTTTCAGCTTGTCAATAATTTGACTTATTACAGGATCTGTTCCCTTCACTTTTACTTCTGGATTTGCAGACTGAGCTTTGATTCCACTGCCAACCACACGATGAGTATAGCTAGTTTAACACACAAACACACACACAAAAATGGTTTAGTAAGTTATTCTACCCTCAGAGAGTCATCTTCTAGTTCATATTAAGTCTCACAGCACCAACATTCCACTTCAATGAGATGCATTAATTTTGTGCACATATTTTTCACAGAAAATAAATACAGCATAATATAGTTACTACATTCCACAAAGTTGTATTATTTATTATAGCTTTAATTTTACTACAAACTTTAACAGGAAAAGAGTTATCTACATTTTTAAGCAAGACACATTCAGCCCTATGCATGGGTTTTTTGTGTGTTCAAAGACAGTCTTCTATTTTGGTTTTGCTAAGTAGAAACTAGACGGTGATTGCCTAAATGCATGACATTTCAGGTTTTTTAAAAAAATTCCAGATTCTACACACAGTGTATGTTCAGAACTACACCTGAAGTTTCCCAGTGTTTTTGTGAATGCACATGCAGATGGAATATTTATTGCAGGACAGCAGCCAAATTGTGCACAAATTATTTAGCATTACATAATTGATATAAGTACAGAGTAGGCCAAAATTTACTTAATAGATAGGTATGTAAAAAAGAAGCAACAGAAGCCAGATGTATGCTCATTCAATAAAGAACTGCTGTAGTAAATAGAACGTTGTTTCTAATATATCAAAACTCAAAATACAGATACTAAAATTAACCACCTAGCAGAATTCTGTGGCTTATTAAGATGCAATTTTTCATTCAACTTCCCATGTTATATGTAATACTCAAGTTACGCAAGAAAAACTGAATATCTACCTTCTCATCACAGACACTGTACATTATGCAAATAGCTTCCATATGTTAGGTTTTGTCTGCATACTCTACAAGAGGATAGCTCTATATATCTCTGCCTCAAAAATATTTTCCAGCTGTTACACTGTAAGAAAAAAGAAGGAAAGAACCCTATCAGGAATGGAGTAAAGAAAAGCCTAATTCCTGCCTATTAGATCTGCATATGAGCATAGACAACACAGCATATTCGAATTTTGTAGAATCTGTTTTATGAAAATCATTGCAGGTCCTCTTAGCTCTGCAGAAAACCTTCCATGTATGCTAAACAATAAACACTGTTCATTAACGCAAGGTTGCTACATTCTTAAGGAAGTGTACACTGACCAAGATACAATTAGCCATGCTCATAGATATAAATTAACCCTGTCATACAAAATGAGTCTGTTTTCCATAGGTCCCAGTGAGCACAGTTTGCCTTCTATATGTGTGACAAAAATTAGTAGCTCCTTTAGGTGTTACAAGAAGATACTTTTTGTACTACAAGTTCTGCAAAATGCTTCAAAAGCGAACTAATTCTGAGGCTCAGCAAAATTTTCCCTGACTTTTAAGGTATTAAGAGCCAGCAGTCTTTCATCGCTTAAGTCCTTTAAAGCATCTGATTTCACACAGTAAATACTAAAATTCTAGACCTACATACAGCTCTGCATGTGCTATTTAGGGAAAATGTACTCTCTTCTGCATGCAATCAAGTTCACTGGAAGCAGATATAATATAAAATTTAAATTCAATTATGTATCAAGATATCACAGCAATGATCACCTAGGATTAGCCACAAGTTAAAGATTCCAGCTTTATTCATTCTTCATTTGAGAAAATAGTCAGCTGTATCCAATATTCAGGACACATTGTATCAGCTAAAGGTAAATACTAAAATTAATAAGCTTATTACTAAAAGCCATTATGGAACCCTGTACTGATTCACTAGCCATACTATTAATTGGAACAGATGTTAATGATGCACAATCAGGACAGCAAGACAATGTATTTAATGTAGTTCACTGGAATATGGTAGTTGAAATGAGTTTAAAAAAATGTTCATAGCACTATTGAATACATTGAATATATGAATGGTTCATATTCTTCACAAAGTGGTATTTTGGTTTAGAGCAGACAGATTTTTGTGCTGTCTTGTAGTGATGGGGCAATTTGCCAGCTGGTAGTGATGGGGTAAATCTTTTTGTCGGGGTGTGTACAGGACCTGCAGCCTGCCTGCTAGACTTGGGGGAACATTTAACACAGCAATTTGACTAAGGTCAACAAATCTTCTGGTAGCTTCTAAAGATAAAAAACCAAACAAAAAACCAAACAAAAAAAAAAACCAACAAAAAAAAACCCACAACAACCGAACAAACCTAAAAAACCTTCTCCAAAGTTTTCCTCAAAAATCCTTCTTTCACAGTCATTTTTCTAAATCAAAATAGATAATTCAATATGGAATTCCTTCCTTCCTTCTCCTTTCCAGCTGAACAATACTGCACTCACCAGATGGACAACTGGTTTAACTCAACACACTGGTTTAATGCAACACAGCCATTTCTCTTCAAACTATAGCACTATAAAAAAGAATCTTAAAGGTTACAGCTACCCTTTCTATACAGTGCTCCCATTTTCTGTTTCACAGCATGCAAAACCGATGTTCTGTCACTCAGAATTCTTAATTAACACCTTTTTTTCAAATGCTGCAAACCCAACTATTACATATTTGTCTGTGAACTGCATAACTATGTGAAAAAGAATACCCTTTCACTTTTTTAAATTCAATTGACAATATTCATTTCTCTAGCCATGCAGGAAGAAATAAACCATACAGAAGTTGAGACTTACCTAGGCTACAATTTTATTAAGTTAGCTCCTCTGGGAATTATCTTGCAATGACTCATTCAAGGCTGGCCATCATTTGTTTTTCAGCTATTTCCACAATGAAATCAACACCCTTGCACAGCTAGTATTTACCATATGACTAACTCCTTTCTTTCATGTGAAGGAAAGTTTCTGGGAAAGTAAGAGTCTTGTGAGTGGACCAGATATTAGGAGCTTCAATCGTGTTCCCCAGCCTCTTTAGAGCCGTCATCCTCTAAATTCCTTTTCAGCGGTGGTTCATAAGGAATAATTGGATTTACTTACCAGTAAAAAGTGTTAGTAATTAATTTGGTTCTCTCTCTCCCACTCCTAGTCATTTTGTTACAGTCATTCTTTTCATATTCTCTCAAAGGCAAAATACATATCTGCTCCCCAGGTAGAGGAGCTCTATTATCTAATATCAAAATTTCTTTCTAGGCAATGATTGATTCTAGCTGGACGTTATTCAAGGCTGGACATTATTCAAGGAGGAAATCTCAAAGGCGCAGGAACACGCCGTCCCCATGTGCCGCAAGTGGAGCAGGCGGGGGAGAAGACCGGCCTGGCTGAACAGAGAGCTTTGGCTGGAACTCAGGGAGAAAAGAAGAGCTTACCCC